TTATTATTATTATACATCTGCGTGATATTATATATCGTTGTCTGAGTGACATTGTAAATCTGAGTGATCTTATAAACTGAGCGATTGTATAAATCTGTGTGAATTAAGGCAACAGTTAGGCCTTTGTGACAACAACAGTCGTTGTGAATCTTTGGAAATACACTAGTCTTAATTACTACGTACATTAAAAAGAAACAACTCTCAAACACTTCGTTTAACTGTAGCGATCCACCAAAATCGCACGTTAACAATACCAATATTTATATGACCTCAAGTATAGTGGATAAATAAAATCTTTATTGGTATATAAAGTTTTAATAGTATATCGGTATATAGAATATCGGTATATATAGGTCTGACTGTATTATGAATCATAGCAGTAAGTATGAATCGGGTCAAAAGTGCTTTGCTAAATACTGCATTGTTTATTTTTTTACCAATCACTAATTCCCAAATTTATGCTACATAGTCTGTATGGGTGGGAGATATATAATTAGTCAAAAATTTTATAGATATAGGTGAGATAATTTATTTTGGAAGTCTAGTTTAGATAAATTTTTTCAAAAACTTGAGAAAGTAAAGAAATAATATGGATGCTGGGACTCGCATTAAATGGCCTAGGATCCATGTACTTCCTCCCTCTTTGATAGCATCATATATTTCATTTGATTTTTTCGCAGATAATAAGATATATAAATAAAGTATCCATTTGTATCACCTAAATAAAATATCATTTTCAACTCTTCTGATTCAAAAACATATAAAAATAATAATGTTCACATAGAAAGACAAACGTTGGAAGTTCAGGCTTCCTTACTTTGAGAACAACGAAACATGGAATCTAATAGATTTTTTACAGTGAGCATAGTATTTGTGAATAGTTTTGAAAAAAAAGAAGAAGAACACAGGATGTATAAGATCTGTTTGGAAAAGCTTACTAAAAGTCCTTATTTATTTAATTCTTGTGATAGTGAATCTATTCAATTGCTAGCATCACAGCGTTAGAAATCATTTGAGGTTAGAACTTTTATTTTTTGTTTTGTTGTGTATTGTTTATTTCGTTAGTTTCAGATCTATAGCACAGGCTAGGTTACATCTGAATATTTCTTAGTCAAGTCTAGAAAAGTGCCTTGCTGTAGTTCTGTTATTAACTGCTTAAAGTGCTATGTCGAGTCTGAATTCCCGATCGTTGAGTCAAAAATCCCAGGGTTGCGTCCTATTGGGTATTTAGATGCACTTTACTTTTAGTTGTATCCAAGAGTATTATAGCAAAAATTTTTTCTTTTTTTTCTTATACTTATTCAGCAAGAAAAGAATTTGCTATGTGTAACAACCTTTTGGAAAAATAAATCTAGCATTATGAAAACACTAAAAAGAGCATCGACTTTGAACTCCCAAAAGATAATTAATAATATGTTTGACCTATATAACGATTTTAGCGAAGCACTAACAAATACCTCACAAAAAACTATAAAACCCAGTAATGCATTCAATTACATTATGTTGAGTTGTGTTTTACCTTTTCTTTATAATGCAGAATAATAGCTTTGAAGCGGAAGTCACATCTTACTGATCTGGAATCCAATATTGAACATTATAATGAAGACAAAGATGAATATGATGTTGGTCTGTTAGAAAGAGTAGAAGGAGAACTACAATTTCAGGAAGAAGCAGATATCTTTAATACTCCAAAAATTGAGGTAACCTTAGTCTCAACTATACCTGCTAATGTGTTTCTATATTACTTACTGTAACTAAATGTGAATTTTGTTAGATGCTGGCGAGTATAAACATGAAATCGCACTTGAAAAAATATAATATTGTTTGTCTCTTTGATATTGAATTTCCCTATACCAAGCAATTCTTTATGAAATTAACAGATCAGATGCATATTATGGAGAGTAAATGAATAGAGTTAAGCTTATTTTATACTTAGATGAGAGCTATGGACATCGAACTAATAAATATATTCTTTTAATAATAATGAGACCGAAGCATATATTAGCAAAGAAGAGATTGAAAAATGTTGAAACGAATGCTCATTAAAAAAACTGGTGGATGATAACAACCAAATCATTAAAGAAAATTCAAATAAAGATATGCTTTATATTGATTTCAATGGTCTTATGACCTCTTTTACAAAACAGAAATTTGACAAATATGACCACCAAAAATATTATGAAGTATTTTAGGTCAGAACGTTTATGTGCAGATGTAAGTTTATAGTATTGTTATGACTGGTAAATGAAAAATGAAATAACTAAATTTTCTTATACCAGGACTCTCTAACTGTTGGAATCTAATAAACAACTTTACTTATGCGATCAAAGTCATTTACATTTGACCAAAATACTTAATTGCACTTTAAAGTTACTAAATGAATAAGAAAAATAAAAAAAATTTGTGAAATAATACAATTATGAAAAATATTTATAACTTTACAACCATTAATACAATTATAATAAAATTTATATGCACATATTTTTGAATTAACTAAGCAATTTTACATATTTGATAAAAGTCAATTTCTTTTGATTAAAATACTCAAATATATCTTTGAAGTAATTGAACAGATAAAAAAAATTAAAAATAATTTGTTGGTCAATGTAATTGCAAAAAATATTTATAATTTAAAATTTAACTTTTTGATTATAATAAATTACAAAGTAATTATACAAAAAACTTTATTAGAATATAAAAAAAAGTATATTAAATAAAATTAAAGATGTTTTAAATAAAATAAATCAAAAAAAAAATTTTTATTATTTTATTTTATTTAAATTTGATTAGTTAATCTGATGTTAATCTGAAAATTTATACCCAACCTGGATTTTTTAAATCAGTTTGGGTTAGATCACATGTTGATCTAATCTGATTTAGAGATCTAATAATTTATTATAATATAAAAGTTAAATTTTAAATTATAAATATTCTTTATAATTATATTAATTAACAAATTATTTTTAATTTTTTATTTATTTATTCAATTACTTTAAGAGATATTTAAGTACTTTTAGTCAAAGAAAATTTATAAGTTAAATATTTCAGTAAATTCAAAAGAATATGTATCAAGCATGATATGATGAGTTATATATGTATGTATGATAATTAATATATAGTCATATATTTCAATATAAGATCATATATATAGTAATATGTATGTTAAATTTATACACAATACATGCTTTTGATTTTATATAATATATATTATATACAGTCCGCGACATAAATATCCGGAATTTTATTAGTAGCACAAAAAAAGCCCCTATACCGCCAATTTACGTTCGACCAAAACAAAAATCAAAAATAGCAATTAATTAGCTATTTATAGATATAAAAATAACGCCACAAAAATTTCATGT